AGGGGAGGAATCCTACCGCCGAGTGAATTCAGAATCCACCTCCTTGGGACTTGCTCTTGGTCCTTCTTCACTTTTTAACTTGATCCTGAGCTTCTGCTGCTCGCTTCAGAAGCCTGGCTTTGCACCCGTTGTTGCCCAGAACATTGATTTGCAAAGCCAGTTGTAGCCGTGGGGACTTCCTATAGACTCTGGAAATTCACCCCAAGCGTCTCCAGCCTTTTGCATTTTTCTGGTGGGCAACCCCTTTGCCTTTGATTAAAGAACCTTTAAGCTCCAGAATTTGTAGATGTCCTTACTGTTGGAAACGCGTCGTGCAAAAATCGTCCCGTCTAGCCAAGCTGTATTAAACCAAAAAGGGGAAAACACATCTGGCCACGGAGATCATTAGCCACCAATTTATCCCTCCTCTCTTGGACTTTGTGAACCACTACTCGTCCTGCTTTCTTCCCTGTAACATTTAATTTTTTTGTGTCTTTGCCAAATGTGAGCTCGATTTTGTGTTGGACGCTCGAGTTGGATTCAGGCCTTGTGTAACCTTTTGTTGTGCATGCCGATTGTACGTTCTTCCACGGTACCTTTCTTTTCTTTCATACAAGTGTTTGTGACATGCTACTGCTCACTTTTCATAAGATGCTACTGGTTTTTTTTTTTTTTTACAAATAAAAAGTTTCCTGCTTCCCATTTATTAGTACTTAATATTGCTCATGAATCTGAGTTGTAACAGACCGCACTGTCCTTTCGGCCAATGCACGTGAGTGGGGGAATTTGTGGCCTGGGGCCTGTTTTTCTCTTTTTGCAGGTGGTGTTTTGAAATTGTGATTCCTGAGGTAAAATTGTTTTTGTCTTTAAAAGGAGGGAGGCTGGGATGGGGGATGAGGGTTGAGGGCTGGTGTTTGTTTGTTAGTTTGTTTTTTTAAAAAAAAAATTGGTATCGCCTGATTTGATTTCTTTTTTTCTTTTCCTGCTTGTCCTTTTCTTTACTTTTAAACTGCCGATGTTTAATTTTCAGGAATGTTTTGCAAAATGTCCTTCTCACACTCCTCTTCCCCAGTTCAACTGTAGGTACATTTGTTCCTTTTTCTCAAATAAGCACGTTTGAAAGAAAGAATTAAAAAAAAAGGTCTGATGTTTGTAATATGCTCAGTTTTTGCATAAAGTACACCTTATTGTAAAATTGACAGCGATGATGAATTGTTTCAGCTAACTCTCTCAGGCTTATGTTAAGTTAGACAATGTATGAAGGAGCGGCAACGGGGGCGGCATAAAGAATTGGACGATTTCAAATTATTCCGCATTGCCTGATACGTTAGATTCCCTTTTGGAGATTCAGCAGGCTGCAATAACTGCAGCTCTTACCTCTCGGAAGCCTTCCGATTAATGATAAAAATTCCTACCTGAAAGTCAAACAGCTCCTTTTTTCTAACTTAACATAAAAAAGGAAAAAAATTGAATGGTTCCTCTGACACGCTAGGATGTTCATGCAGTGTTGCCTTTCTCCCTGTAGGCGTTTATGGTGAAACAGCTCCTCGAATACACTCAGCAAACGGAACCCAACCTGCAATACAGCCTGTTGTTACTTTTTGGCCTCTTAATAACGGAAATTGTGCGTTCCTGGTCTTTGGCGCTAACATGGGCTTTAAACTATCGCACTGGGGTCAGGCTGCGTGGAGCTATCCTTACAATGGCTTTCAAGAAAATACTCCGACTGAAAAATATCAAGGAGAAATCTTTGGGCGAGGTAAGTTGAGAGGGTGGTAGGTGTAGAACAGGGGCATCAAGCTCAATTTCATTGAGGGCCGTATCAGCATTGCGGTTGCCCTCAGGGGGTTGGGTGGGTGTGGCCAGGGTGGGTGTGGCCTACTGGGTGGGCGTGGATGGAGTGGGTGTGGCCTACTGGGTGGCTGTGGCCAGCTCTACATCATTCGCGTCAAGGGTGCCTGTGGAGGCCTGGGCAGGAGTGGGACAGATCTGAGGGTCTCTGGCAGAAGGGGGTGGGACCAGGGCAAGTGCCAAGGAATGGTCCACTGGAGGAGCCTCACTGTTCCTCTCAGGCCATGCGGGGGGAGGGGCTTATGGAGCTAAGACTGAATACGTTTCAGCATGGATGGCCACCACAAAATTGTACATTGGCTCCCGGCTGGCCTGGGCCAGGGCCAAGGCAGAGGGGGGCCGTTCCCTCACAGTTTCTAGGTTGGCTTTGCGGGCCACATGAAACCACTTCGCGGGCCGCATCCAGCCCCCGGGCCTTGTGTTTGACATGTCTGGTGTAGAAGGACAGGCTGAAGTGGAAGGTGGGGTTAAACATGTCATCGGTTTGGAATCCTTGTGTTGCCATAAGAGACCTCATTAGTTGGCTAAATTCTTCTATTAAAGGCAGGAATAATGGGTCTCATTTTATCAGAGGTCTTCAAACTTGGCGCTTTTATGACTTGTGGACTGGCTGAGGAATTCTGGGAGTTGAAGTCCACAAGTCATAAAAGGGCCAAGTTTGAAGATTCCTGCATTTTATCACTGGTTAAATTGATATCCTGCCTTCCGGTTGCATATTTGCACCCAAGGGGCTATATACGAATAAAAGAACATACAGGTAGTCCTCGACCTACCACACTTGACCGTTCAAAGTTACAATGGCACTGAAAAAAGTGGCTTACGGCCATTTTTCACACGGCCGTTGCAACATCCTCATGGCCAAATTTGGACGCTTGGCAACTGGCTCCTATTTATGACGGTTACAGTGTCCTGGGGTCCTGTGACCCTCTTTTGCGACAAGCAAAGTCGGGTGGGGGGAAGCCAGATTCACTTAACTGCTGTGTTACTAACTTAACAATTGCAGAGGCAAGAAAGGTCGTAAAATGGGCTAAAATTCATTTTAACTAGTGCCTCACTTAGCACCAGAAATTTTGGGCTCAGTTGTGGTCATAAGTCAAGGACTACTTGTACACTTCTTTCCTGTCCCTGTTCAGTCTAAACCAGTGGCCCCCAACCTCTTGGGCACCAGGGACCGATTCCATGGAGGAAGGTTTTTCCACGGACTGGAGGGGGCGTGGTTTTGCATGCTGCCTGCATCCTGTGGATGGGGCTTCACTTGTTTCTGCGGCCTGGTTGCTGGCATGTCGCCTGGTGCTGGTTCATGGACCAGGGGTTGGGGACCCTGGTCTAAACAATATAGCAAATCTACGGATGCTTTTTGTCCTCTACCCTTGATAATGATCACGCGAAGTGTTAATACCACTTTACAAGGCCTTGGTAAGGCCACACCTGGAATACTGCATCCAGTTTTGGTCACCACGATGTAAAAAAGATGTTGAGACTCTAGAAAGAGTACAGAGAAGAGCAACAAAGATGATCAGGGCTGGAGGCTAAAACATATAAGGAACGGTTGCTGGAATTGGGTATGTCTAGTTTAATGAAGAGAAGGACGAGGGGGGACATGATAGCAGCGTTCCAATATCTCAGGGGCTGCCCCAAAGAAGAGGGAGTCAAGCTATTCTCCAAAGCGCCTGAAGGCAGGACAAGAAGCAACGGATGGAAACTAGATAAGGAGAGAAGCAACCTAGAACTAAGGAGAAATTTTCTGACAGTTAGAACAATTAACCAGTGGAACAACCTGCCTCCAGAAGCTGTGAATGCTCCAACACTGGAAATTTTTAAGAAGAAATTGTACAGCCATTTGTCTGAAATGGTATAGGTTTCCTGCTTCAGCAAGGGGTTGGACTAGATGACCTCCAAGATCCCTTCCAACTTTATTATTACTATTATTATTATTATTATTATTATTATTATTATTATTATTATTATTATTATTATTATTATTATTATTATTATTATTATTATTATTATTATTATTATTTGGCACCATGTATATTTCAGCTCATAAATGTCTGCTCCAATGATGGCCAGAGAATGTTCGAAGCGGCAGCTGTGGGTAGCTTGTTGGCCGGAGGTCCTATCGTTGCCATTCTTGGCATG